AGGAAAGTTTATCTGAAACAATAATTTTTAGTGGCAACAAAAACTTTATGTAATACCGATTAACATAAAACAACCCTCGTTGCGATATCTCATCATTTCACTTTGTAATAATTTTTTTTTAAATTTGAAAGAGACTTTATAGACACCCAATATAACCGCGACGAATAAACTATACATCATCGTTGACACAACACCTTTCTATTGATCGTGAAACAATTTCCGATAAAGTGCATTCACGCAATGATCTTTTTTCACTCTTCCCGGCATAATGTTTCTGAATTATATAAACTAGACTAGAACATGCAAACAGTAAACCAATTTGTTGACAAGAGACAAGTTGACAATGATCGCACATGGTAAAAATAAATGCCATACAGCAGTGCTGAACAAAGTATCCTACTCTTTGCACAAGGCTCTCCATTATTCCTATTTCTTTTGTTATATTTATTGTATAATCGTCCCACTTGAAGTGAACAAATGTTTCCTGCCTGTGGTAACCATACATTTCTCATCTTTTTTTTTTATATAGGCTATATATATGGAAATATTTCGTGTCACAGTCAGTATGTTTGTCATTGGTGAATTGATATCCCTAGCAAATCTTTGCGTCAAATCTATTTTGTAAGAATTGCAAAAACTATCAATTGGCGATGTTATCTTTCCGAGTCGAATTTATATTTCTCTTTGATTTTCAATCGTTTATATCGATTCCATGTGGTTGTCGGGTTTTTGAGTTTAATAGTATAGAAAAATTCTTTATCATTTCCGTATATATCACACACGGTTCGTCAATCCCCGGAATTTCAGTCCGCTATGGGAACGATTCCTAAAAGATTTTAGTAATAACACAAGTGTAGGTGCCGAAAATACCAAATGTCTGAGTCCATTTCATTTACCGGTTTCTTTTTGAAACTTGTGTCCATATATTTGAGCATGATCTCTTGTTATTGTTGGTATTTTTCTTGTTTTGTTGCCGTGCGGAAAATAGCTAGAGGGTTATTACTCTTTATTTATTTTGAAACTTTCTAATTCGTTTTTCACTCTCACTTTCACGAAGTTTTGTCTGATGACTTCTTGAAAATTAATACAAATGATCTGTAGCGATTCTTCGACTTCCCTCGTTCTCTTCTCTTGCTACCCAAACGCCGGAAGCTTTTTAAAAGGTGTAAGGTGAACTAGTGGAAAGTGGGGAGGGTTGGGACCTTTTTTTTCTTTTGCATATTTTGAGCCCTATATTCTGCACATTCATTTCATTTTGCGGGGCGAATAAAGAGAGGGGCCACATTCGGACAGGCCCTGCGGCACATTAAAAAAAAACGATGGTGTGATTTTTGAAATGAAACCAGCATTTATATATTAACAAGTAAAATTACTAATTCCGGCCAAAGGCAAATAATTTACTTTTTCTAATCTGTATCTGAAAAATATTTTTGAATCTAGAATATATATATTCCATATTGTGCCATGGGCCAAAAAGTACCCTGATATTACACAAAACATAGCGTATTTCTAGGCTTCTAAGCAGCTAGTGGACCAAATACTGTCGAATAGTGCCCGGTGGATCATGTCCCACTGAACCCCGGTCCATTGTTCCCCATTGGACACAAATATATTTAGACTGTCCCACGTCGAGATTAGGAAGGCACGCCAACGGCATAAATATTTTACAGTGGACTAAAGTTGAAAAATACCAGACGGTGGTTTGTCATGATTGAAAGGCTAAAGTAGAAAAACGAAAAAACTTAAATGGTAAAATTTAGTTTCAACCCCCCCAAAACCAATTCCATCCCATAACTTGCGTCGCTTCACACGTCCGTTCTCCGTTTGCGGGGACGTTGTAACACACCGAACGGCGGATTCAAACATCGAACCGCAGACCTGATTCCGGTTATAGTATGATTGTGAGAGCTAATTTTTCCACTGTGCCCCATGTCCCACGGGGCCCCACCTTCCCCCACTGCTTCGCTTTGGTCTTTGTGTTCATATATTATATTTGAAAATCGTTCCCAACTTATTATCCAATGTACTTGGGTGATTAGCGTTTGAACGAAGGTGGAATACGGATTTTAATGGTATTTAACGTATTATAGGTTTTAATGTTTTTGACCCCCTTTGTATTATTAGAATGTTTAATTCAATGAAAATAAGGCATTTTGGCCTATTGATGATGAATTATAAACAAACGTTCATGTATAGTGTCTCTGTGTACCGAGCGATCAATGCCTTCGGTCTTCTTAAAATAGTTGAGAGTTCCCTCTGTTACATTACTGAGTTGGATTTCAACTCTATATTTTAATATATCTGTATTGGGACCCTTTCAATTAGCCTATACAACTCTGCAATGCGGACATTTGCCATTACAATCTATTGTGTGTTTATTGACTTCTGAAGAAGTTCAGTTGGAGGTTGCTCCGCTCAACGCCGCTTTTTTCTTTTGTATTTTTTGAGCTAGATAATTTGCACTAGCATTTGACATTGTGCGACTAATGCATAGAGGGGTAACTGTAATTTTATTCAGCAACTAAGAAATTCCTTAGTGCAACACACACTACTACCAAAAAGGTTTGAAAAACATTAGTCAAATGTCCCACTGTTGGACACACCCTGTGGTACAATGGCGAAGTAAATTCAACGAAGTATGCCTTGAAAATTCGCGAAGAATCAGCATCATCATCAAAGAACTGTGGAAAGCAAATTTGAAAATTTAATATTTTTGAAATCAATGTTCAACCAATGTATTTCAGATCTTTTTTCAAAAAATTTCCTAAACAAATTTTTTGCATTGGCAACATAAAACCACTTTGGAGACATTCGTATCTGAAAATACCGCCTTGTAGACTTACCCGTTGAATATTTAAGATGAAATAAATAAATGAAATGGATTCATTGTTTTACTTTTGGATTATGCCTAATTTCAACCAGTTAAAAATGAATTCTGAATCTTTCATTTTCAACGATGACGACAGTTCTTTGTTAGAAAAGCCATAAACATCAAATGCGGGTTTTGAGTGCTGTTCAAAATGAACAAATAACGATGGTGTGATTTTTTTCAAGCACTTAATTGTTCACTGCCTCCACTAAAACAAAACCAATATTCTTATAATAACAAGTAGAATTTATAATTCCGGCTAAATGCAAAATATTTACTTTCTCGAATCTGAATTACTCCGACAAATATTTTTGAATCTAGAATATATATATTCCATATTGGGCTATGGGCCAAAAGCTCTTTAATGTTACACAAAACACGCATCTATAGGCCTCTAAGCACTTAATGGATCAAACACTGTCAAATTGTGCCTATAGTGGAGCATGTCCCACTCTCTCGCCATGGTCCATTGTTCCCCATAGGAAAAAATATTTTCAGACCGTCCCACGTTGAGATTAGGAAAGCACATCCACTCGCCAACGTTATGATTATTTTATAGTGGACTGAAGCTAAAAATACCAGACAGTGATTTGTCCTCTTGGAAGGCCTAAGGTAGAAAAAATAAAAAGACAGAGATGGCAAAATTTTAGTTTGTACCCTTTAAAATCAATTTTATCTCATTGCTTGCGTCGCTCTGCACGCTTGCTGTCCGGTAACCGCGGACCTGATTCCAGATATATATAGTATGGGCGTGAAAGCTTATTTTCCACTGTGCCCCCTGTCCCACTTTGGCCACCTTTCCCCTACTGTGGTAAGGACACGCGGAGTAGATTTATGACGTCATCATTATACGCAACTGCAAAAATGCTTATTATGACATTATCATATATTCCATGGGCCTCACAAACGACATAGCTAGTTGCCTTCCGTCCTTTAAATTCCGCCCTGGCTCATACATACATGGTAAAATAGCTAAATGTGGAAACTATATATATATATATATATATATATATTAAAGTTGATGATAAGACGGATTAATCGTATGATGAACCACAGGCTATCGGATTAGTTACCCAGTCATTTTTTCAAATACTCGTATTTTTCCATGACGGGAAAATTTACTGTGGTATTTGATCAATAGTTTTTCCATAAGAACTATCAATTATTCAACATGTAATGAAAACAATTAAATTCACTTGGGTGTTGAATCAATTAATTTGGAGCTGAATATATCAGTAATTTCGGTTCTATTTTTATCGGACGAAAATGATTGATATCGGTAAATCTCCAAGATGGGATAGGATTTACATATTTGTCCTGGGGGAGAGGAAAGCCGATAAAACGGCTTAATCATATGGCAAACCGCGGCCTCTCGTCCGGTTACCAGTTCATGATGTCGGGTATGGGATTAATTAGCCAGTTGTTTGTTGGACTCGATGGTGGAGGAAGCCATAACCAGAAGTTGCGTTAACCATCCTGCGGCGGCGAGAGGTCCATCAATCCTCTCGCACATAATCACCCCGCATGTGATTAGAACCTGGTAATTATAGGTGAGCGTATTCCTAATGCTTAACACGATGCGCCACACCGCCGAGCCAAGATAAATATGAAAATAGCATCCCGTTATCCCCTTGTATGTCATGTATCTCCTTATTCAGCCTGCGTTCACACTGCCGTAGTTCACCTTTATTCGATTCATATTGGGCTGAAAACATTCAACATTCTATTCCTTGACCTTTTACTTTAAATCAACAATTAGCTTATTTACTCCAGCTGGTTCAATACTTACAAAAAGGATCTCGGCTGATCAGTTATGGCGAAATTCATTTAGTCAGCAAATTTTTCTCCGCAATTCACTATTCTCTTCTGCAAATTGCTATTTCACCATAGCCTCTTTTGCAAATTTCTCCCCATTATAATCATTTAAAGCACCCCTAAAAACTGTACCATAACCAATATTTGCATAAATGAGATGTATTTTCTTGGTACTTAATTTAAAGTATCATGCAACATACCCAAGTTGTTATTAGATGCATTGTCATCACAATTGGTTTCCATAACAATCGAGATTAGCCTGACTTCCAAACAGGTGACCAATACCCCCCATTCTCCAGGTCAACTCACTCCCAGAAAGAACAAACAAGAATTTTATTTGCCACAGAACAACATTTTGTACAATATATATAAATGAGTAAAACAGATTTAAATAAAGTGTGCCTTTTTCTTGAAGCCAATTGTATATTACTTGTCAACAGATCTTGGCTTTTTCCTGGCAGAATCTCCTTCATCTGAACTATTTGTAGATATTTCCTGAAAACAAAATTACCCACAACATAATAGAGGTTCAGAAATGAATGGAGCAGTGGTTTCCAGCCTTTCATAGATTGTGGCCCCTCCGTAGGCTTTTAGTACTTAGAGGAGGGCCCCCTGCTCACCATTCCATTAATACAAGCAGTGCACAAATTGAGCATATTCTTGGCCTCCTTGATTTACTTTGGTAAGCCTATGGCAACGTAACTAATACGCTTACGACAACCATCTCGCAGTCTAGTGAAACTGTGGTTAGTAGAATAGATTTGACTGCAAGTCATATGACAAGCTAACTAGGCTACAAAAGTTAGAATTCACATAGGCATTTGTAATGTTCTTTTGATTGGTAGATTCCAAATCCTATTGTGATCAAACAGTTCATGCATAAGATATTGAAAACACCCCGTGGCTGAACATATTGGGTAATTTTCATAAATTCATCCTCTCACGTCTCACCTCTTGCGTTTCCTGAGTTACCTCCTCTTCTCTCCTTGCAAGAGTTTCTTTGATAACTGAACTTTTGATACGAAAATCGCGAGATGTCGGAAGTTTGTGTTCTCGTAACAAATCCATTTTGCATTTTTTTCCCAAAGATATCAGAAAACGCTCCAAATTTTCAACAGAATAAATGAGTGAAGGAATGAACCTTGTTTCTCGTAATACTTTCATCTGTATAACATACAATTTACTTTTGAATCAATCATTCCATAATGCATATAGTGACGTCGCAAAATGTTTTTTGATATGAAAATTATTTAACTTCTAGCAGAGAAATATAATATTGATAACAAACAAAATGTAGTAATACAAGAGAGATATGCTCAAATGCATGGATGAGAAGGTCTGGCATCAGTGGTAAGGTCTGAGTTTGCTAAATGGTCGGGGGACAATCAACTAACTAAAATGTGTCAAGAATAAGAACAACAAAATTCAGCAGAAACAAACCATATGTAGGCCTACACCTCTTGCCCAAACAGACTTTTGTCACCCAATTGAAAACAAATGAAACATTAACCTTTAGATAAAAATAATCTCATCAATACATTATGTAAACAAAAAGAACCTTATTTGCTGCAGTTCTTGTCGAGTCTTTATTGTTATCCTTTCTCTTTCTTTTCTTAGCATCTTGTGATGTTCTATTTGTTTGCATACTTTCAATATAATTTATGAAAGGATATATAAATCTTGTGACTTCTGTGCCAATCAGTTTCACTAGTTTTTCGAAACAAGGTGGGAGAGATTTTATAACATTTTGTGATAATAACCAAGTGTACTGAAACAAAAAATAAAAGATAGTTAGTCTACTTTACCATATTTTTCAGAATTCTTACTAAGAGAAAAAGTTAAAATTTTTGAAAACACTAAACAAACGGTTCAAGATGAGAGATGTTATGAAGTCAAATAAGAAAATTGTACTGATTGATTCCGATTTTCATTGAGACCGGCATGGCAGATATTATACCACAACCCTGTGAAGTCAAAGTTTGGAATTTTTATTTACTACTGAAGTATTATAAAACTTCTCTCGCTATTCTAACAAAGGCTGTTGGGGGCGTTGAACACAATTACAATTTTTGGATCAGGAATAGTGATAATAAGGACAAAAATTACCAACAGAAACTCAAGAGCATCAGATTGACTGATCTTCCTAAACAGGAAGAAAGCAAGCATACACAACAACTTCTGTTGTCAAAATGGGGCTTTTTCATGAGGAAATATTCATCTCAACCTCGTAGTGGGCCCCCAGAGTTGGGGGCTTTTTTTTAATGGAGTGTGGAGTGTGAATTTTCCCAGCTACACAGCCATTATGCAATACAAGTGAAGAGAATGATATAAAAAGTGAACTTACATATTTGGCAAGATGAGTCAATAGATTATAAAGTTTGGATAGACCATGAAACGTGCATTCAGCGGGTTGTCCAAGTGGTAGAGATGATAATATAAGTTCGCGATAAGAATTTAAAATAATTCCAAGCCTGGAGCAAATGCTACCTGGTAAATTTAAGGATAACCGATGAATGGTGATATCAACAATACAAATGGTAAATTCCACAGTTAGGTTTTGATGGTATGACATTCAGTGCGCAGAAACAGAAAAGATTGAAAAACAACCCAGAGGATGTCTAACCATAAAAGACAATATCATGGGAGATACTGGAGTAAATTTCATCTCTCATTAATTTAGTTGAATTATTATTTTTAAATAACATATTTTTAACTTGAAGACGCCATTTCAATATTACCTAGCTGCGGCTAATTTTATACATTAAATTTTAGCATCATTTCAAAAATGCCATACTTTCAATGTTTGTTCGTTTTTTATCAAAATCTGTAACAATTTCTGAAACTACGGTAGAATCTTCAAACTTTTCATCGGTTAAATTAGCAGCAATTAGACCTTTCAACCTCTGCAACAGCCATTCTGTTTCTTCCACAGTGGAATCCATATGACTCACCAAAATTGGCTAAATATAACACAATAAAGCTTCTTTCACATCATAATACATACAAATACAATAGCAGGGAAGTCTGGCTGGTTTATCCCAAGACGGCATCCTAAGAGCTAAAACACTTTGCTTTGTGTGTAACTTCTCTATCAGGCACTATCAAACATAAACTACAATCACAAATATAATTGAGATTCTAGGTTTTATAAGTTGCAAAATAGCATATACAGTTAGTGTGTACACATTATACATTCAAACGAATTCTGTAAATTAAATCGCTTTTTAAGTACATAAGAATGAAAAGTATAGGAAAAAAAAACTAAACAAGTTGAAGAGATTGTTGCAAACTTGTCATACTATATTAATATACCTATACTTGCAACATACATTTGGGATCAAGCAAACAAACATTACAGTTGTAATCAGATTATTAAATCAACATTACCACTAAGATGATGACATTGCACTCATCAATGATTTGGTAATGAGATCCTCTCTTCCTCTCCTCAACCATCGTACTATCCTAAAAATGTATGTTGATAATAAATGAAAATGCAAGTTTTATCAAATGTATATGCAGAAATAAACTTGTAAACATACTTCCCCTTCAGTGTTTTCGATATCACCAGCAACAACACGGACATCTTCAGCAATGTCATGGATTGCACCCTCTGAACCTTGTACTGCTCTACCATCACCGGTACATGGGCCACATATTGTGCAAAGATGCAAGTGAAGGCTGATAAGTGACTTTGTGACAGCAGCATCATCTAAAAACAAAGTATGACAAAGTAACAAGGAAAAAGCTTCAATCAAATTTGAAAACTGAAATAATTATTGATGCCTTGATGGTGGTCCGAGGCAGCCCATGCAAAAAGTTGATATAGAATAACTTTTTACCTTCTTAATTTTTTCATGGATAATATTAACTAAAGAAGAATCTGATGAAGTAACCTTCAATGATATGATGATATGATAACGGTATACATTCTCTTACTCTGTTACAAAATATATTTACAGTGATACATGAAAAGTAGTTTTAGTTGATTTCTAATATAACTTACTTTTTACGGAAGATTACAAATATCAAAGAATTACAGGATTGCTACATATTCAAATAAAGACATTTACAATTCTCATCTTGCTTACCTATAATCTGTTCTTGACACAATTTTCCGATCCATTTATTAGTTTGAGTTATATCATTGGGATATGGTGTGGAGGAATGAATGGGATTTTCCTTGACAACATTATTTGTGAAATCATAGAAAGATGTAGAGGATAAAAAATCCACGACAGATGCAAGAAGAGGAAGAATTTTGCGATGAGCTGAAGAAAGAGCTACATCTTCAGAGAGATAAGCAATTATAATTCTTTGAAATCTAAATAAAAAAAAATGAAATAAAAATTAGTTTCGAGTCATATGACATTTGATAAATATAATGATCCATTCATATGCTACCTGTGAAAAATTATGTCTACAAACAGAGATATCCAAATTGAATTCCCATCCACTAAATATCGCTTTTAGTGTTCATAAGAATAGTATACAAATTCAGTTTATACCCTCACACATTACCACAGCCTCCGTCCACATTTAACTGTGATAATGAGTGATGGTATAAACTGTGAAAAATATTTTGTTCTTTGTTTGCCCCAGATACTACAATCGCTAAGTACTGTTATATATGGTTCCATTACATTTGAACCCACGTACATTTGAACCCATGACAATTGCACCTGTATGCTATTGCACCTATGGAGTTTTTTTTGTTTCACGGATAGTTAAACCCATACTAACCCTAACCCATGGGTTTTAGCACCCGCATATAGATTGAACCCGTGGATATACGCATGGGTTCAAATGTACATGGGTTCAAATGTACGGTCACCGTTATATATATACTGTTATTTTTTTTTATTCCTGTACAGAATCTAGAATTCACAAATCTTGTCTATTATTTACATCTGCATGATAAACTGAATAATATAAAATATTTTTTAAGATGTACTCAGAATAGTTCAGTTTCCGGTTATGGCCATTCCTGTATACGACCAACATTTATGAAAGTAAATAATAATTGAGATTCTCCTTTAAAGATCCATAGAATTACAGACTACTTCATTTGTTCGACCCAAAATAAAACAATAATATAGTTCAGTAATACCATATATACGAAGCGGAAAAATACATTACCTTCGAACTAATCTAACTTGAGCATTGGCACTAACTGCTGTTCCTTCAGCATCACGATCCATGGATACTGACATCAAAAATTCTTCCAACCTTTTTCTTTTTCTAAAAATGAAAATTTTAGGCAACACTTAGGAGTGGTGATGCCTCTATGATACCAACAGCCTCCTGAATGGTGTCATCCGTAGAGGTCATATTGGGCTGCCATATATACATCAGGGTTGACTTTTAGGGTCGCTATACAAGACCAAGGCTATTGTTGTTATGTTGGATTTGAATTATTGATAAAATCACATCAGTATTGGGGTGAATTGAAAAAAAATGTTGGATTACAAAAAGTCAAAGCAGAAAGAACATAAGAGTGAATGCCTAATGGTTAATGCCTATAATAATGTGTTGTGTTTACTGGACATTAACATTAACAAAGTTTCTAATCTTCAGATGTCAATCACTTGGTACCTGGTATATATATATTGTAGTGAGTGAAAAAAGGCATCAAGGCAAGAATGGCATATTGCAGATGCTGTAGGATCGTTTCTGAGTTCCATGAACTTTTTTAAACATGCTCGTCCGACTGTCATACACATCTCAAGAAGCAGATTCTTGTCATTACCTTCAAAATAGGCAAAAACTTTCTATTGGTTTTTATGGGAAATCTTTTAAACAAAAAAGAAGAATAGCATGTAGCAACTGAAAACCTTCTGGTTATAAATCTGGTTACAATAAGAATATGCACGTGGTTTACCATGCAACAGATTTCTATCTACTTGATTGCAATTCTGCTCATGTTCGCTTGTATCTCCATTCAACTACTATCACATCGAACATAAGAATGATGCTACGATTGTCTACAAATACTGCACTTGGCTAACTTTTGGTTAGACTTGGCATGTAATGCTAACGAAATTGGACCAGTGAACAAGCCATGCAGCTATCAATCTATTAAAAACAGAATTGACTTTGTTGTCTCCTGCTATAAAAACTGTTTATTGCATCCAATATGTTGGTTTCATTCAAATATTTTCTGTCTGGGTTGAATTTTCTACTAATCGCATCAGACTTTTGATCTGATCTTTTGCCTGGTCTATTGGTTTTAATGCAGCTCACAGCAGTCCCAGCTCAGAATATACCGGTAGTTCATTATTAGCTAGTTAGATCATGTTTCACTAAGGTTGTATTGTACAAACCTCCAATTCCTTTTACAAGATCGTGTTCTTTGGCATCAACAACAGCTGATATTGCAGTTTCCGCAGCATATTTGACAAAATCATCATCCATTCTCAATATGTTCAATCCTACTTCTCGGTCTGTTGATTCATCACAAAATAAACCTGAAATTGCAATGATATCTCGATCAAGTTCAGAAATGGAGATTAAACACTTTGAAAAAAAAACCAGAGGAGTTAATCAAATAATGCAAAATATAACAAGTTTTAAATATATTTTTACTGTATTGAAAATTTTAAATTCAGAAACGAAACCCAGCAAAACAACAGATCATACTTGCTCTAATGACATAGCAATGTCCATAATAAATAACACAATATTTACACCATTTGTTTAACAATATTAAAATCGGAACCGAGTAAAATGAAGAGTGAATGCATGAAAAACAACAACACAAAAATTGATATGGATTAAAAATATAACCAAAAATTATATCATCAGATAATTGAATTCATAATTTGATAATTGAACAGTCACACACCAAAAACTATTACCATCAATAAGACTTTTAATAAATACAGGACTAGCTGAAAAGCTAGATGCAGAGGATTTATTTGAATCTTTACGACCACTGTTGATGACATCTTTTATTTTCTTATAACGTACATGTAGTTGTAATATGGTATTTGCACTTTTTTCACTGTAAAAAATTAAAACTTGATGAAAATGACAAAAATAGCAGGAATTTGAATTCGAATTATTGAAATCCATTATTCTGAAGATTTTTCAACATTTTCATAAGTATTTATCGGTACATCAAAGCATGTTATACAAAGAATTAAATAAGACTCGCCTCTGAACAAAGTTATGTATGACAACCGAAACACCAAAAACTACTGAAAACATACAATTATGGTGATACATTACGTGCCATTAAATGTTGGTTGATGGTAAGTGCAACTGAAGCTTGAATCAATAAATAACATCCCATATAATAGCAGTACAGTATGATTCCAAAATATATGTACAAGCGAACAGATAAATTGTAAATAACATTGATGGGTATGAGCATGTGATGAATACTCCATTACTCCAAGATACTCTATATTCAATAATAACATTTAAAATGCTCAAATTTATAAAAACTATCAATTGTTAACTTATGGAAAAATACCAACAATATATAGTTAAGAGTAACCTCACTTTAAATCATCCTGCAGAAAAGCATATTCAAATAATGATTGATAACATCCCATCACTAAATTTCCCAGAATATAATTGTTTTTTCCCACACTGGTGGAATTGGAAAAATCGGCAGATTTATCCTTAAAATATAGAAGTGTAAGAATATCAAAATTTAAAAAAAAATCAAAAAGTAATTCTTAATCTTAGGTAAATTTACTTTAGTGAATTTCCAGTAGTGTTTAATGATACGCCATGATGTATGTCAAGGCAACCTTAGAGTGGAAAGAATATAATAAGAGGTAGGGTATTCAGTGAAATAGAAAATTGTCTCTCAAACTATCAGGGAAATTGTACTATACATACCATGTTAAAGGCATGCCATCATATTACGTTTATGTAATTATTTAGTTTATTTTTGAATAATCATGTCCACTACTATGTGCTGCCAAACACGCAGCATAATAGTTGCGAAACTGCCACTTGATAGCAGTCTATTCTCAAAACAAAATTAGAAAATGTTAATGTTTACCAGTTCAAAATCCTCCATCTCAGATTTGACCATTCTTGTTGTGATTGATTCAAATAATTCATTAACAGTTATCAAAATATTTTGATCTATTATTTCATCTTTGTCATATTCGCCTCCTAAGCCTTGACGTTCTTGGCCCTGAGATTATTTAGAATAGGGTTTACATAGAGTAAAGCCGATAAGACAGCTTAATCATATAGTGAACAATGCCTCTCGTTCGGTTACAAGTCCATGTCGTGTACATGAATAGTTAGTCGTTGTTTGTTCTTTGTTAGCAGATGCCATAGCCAAACAGAAGTTAGGTGAATCACCCTACGACAACGAGGAGCTCTTCTTGCACATATCTATCCCCGCATGAGATTTGAATCTGCGAACCCACGCAGGGTAATCAGAGGTGCGGTGACAAGCATCTCTCTAACGCTTAGCACAATGCCCACACTGCCCAGTCATTACATTATTAACAGTAATATTATTTTTTTTTAGAAAAATTTGCCATGACAATATACGATAATGAATATTTAGTTGAATGTAGAATATCAAAAACGTAGATCATTGAACTGGAATTTATAATTTTGTTGGTCAGCTGCTAAACAATTTGTTAGATGTACAGAACTGCTATTGATGGGAGGGCCTGGAATCTTCAGTTGGATACGTCGTTTTTAATTGTATATACTTAAAAACTGTAACTTCAGTATCTTCCACTTTAAAATACTTTTATAGCTCAAAATAAAACATAGGATAATTTCATTTGGAAACTGAACCAACATTGATGTTTATACAAATCATCATTTGAGCATTCTCAGTGTGCCTTTGCTAGCTATTAGTAGACTGTCGAAATGCATAAATAAGGCCATTTGTTTCATGGGTATTTGCAAATTTCTGAATACATAATGAGGTGTATGGTTGAGACCCTTGCTATAAAATCAGTACAAAATTTAGTGACTACTTTTACCTTCTTCATGCACAAGAACATTGATGACAGCAGCAAGGATAAGGGTTCAAGTAAAGTTGGTTCACCATTCTGAACAGTGATGCATATTTTGGGTTTGATTGGAGGAATGACTCCAGCATGTTCTTCATGGTATAGACTACATAGGAACAAAACATCAATTGTAATGAAAAGAAAATTATGTAATCTAATTCCTCTAAAAATAGAGATATTTTTCACCTATAAAATTTCCTCAATATAGGGCTGGGCATTTTCGAATAGCTGATGATTTCAGAACCGAATCGAATATCTTTATTTAACCAAATTTCGAATGAGATATTTGAATTAATACAATGACATATTCGCATGTGACATTTTTATTGTAATGGTCCAGACACATTCACACACAATATGAAACATGTTTCATCAATAACTCATTACGAAGAGAATAGTCATAATATATCAGAATTTAATCAAAAATATCCCATCAGCAAAATTAGTGCGGCACGCTAGAAGATTTGTCACCAAACTTTAGCCCGCCTTTTACAATAGAATTTAAGAGTAAATCTGATTGTATCTCAGATAAAACAAACATTCTTTTGTATCATACCATTATGACGCAATATACCACCAAAATCTTGCAACCAAAGCATGTTATACGCTTGATGCTACAAAAACAAGGGTTCTGGTATGTCTGGAATGACGAAGAGAAAACTTTCATGTTTATATCGTATTACTCCTTGAAACCACTCATTATTCTTCACATTCCACAAAATTAAATTGTAACTCATTGTGTATGATAAGGGTCGGCAACCTACGGCCCTACGGGTAACATAATCCGGCCCGCGACGCTTTAGTAACAAAACAGCTGTTTTGCCGATTACATTTTTCACGTTACACAATTCATTGTGAGACATGTGTGGACTAAATTATATTATAATCTAACAAGTATAAAATTCACAATTACTCATTTAATGAGCCTATAATTTAATCCTAATTAGACAAATGGCAACAAAACGCAGAAAAGTTGAGGCTAAGTGCAAAGAGTTCAATGGCGCCAAAGATGCATTGCAATGAGGAAATAAATCGATATTCTATTCGAGATGTATCACTGCTTCATTTTTAATTATAAAAAGTATCATCCGTTTGATTTTCAACTTTCTAAAAATGAGCTGGGGCCCACCAATGACTTGCAACCCTTATTTTGGCCCGCGAGCGACAAAAGGTTGCGACCCCTGGTTTATGATGTATGGCCCGCAGCAAAATTGAAATGTATTTTTGTGGCCCCAGAAGACATTTAGGTGGACCCAGATAGCGTCAATTCAAAATTGTATTCCGTACGATTTGATTAATTTACTATTCTATTCGAATATTCAAATGCCAGCCCCATATTAGTATAATCCAAAGAATCTACCTAATTATTTGCAAATATGAGAAGCATAGAAGCATGGAAAATTCCAGAATTTGAAAAGGACTCCATTGAGAGTTGTTCAAAATGTGACCGACTTAAAATAAATTAAAATAGCCCAAAACTAATAAAACTACATCCATGATGAAGCCTTGCGATTGTGAAGTAGATTTGTCAAATTGTACAAAAAAAACATCCATACATAGCCTTATATATGCCACTGGTTGAATATCATGAGATGTATACGAGTAGTACATACAAACAGTGCAATAAAAAACTGAAAACAAAAAGCAAACAAATTTGTAATTTTCAAACGAAACAAAAACCATACAAACCATCTTACTTAAAATGAGTTATTAACTTCTCCAATATCGGTCTGGCAAGGTGTGGATTGTATAAAATAACATTCCATAAGCCTTTGTATAAAGTAGCTCGCACTGGGGATTGCTGGGTAAGACATCTTCTCAAGGTTGAAAGAACTTCCAAGCATAAAGACTCGTGGTTGGAGCTTTGGTTGACTGGCACATCCGTTGAAGAGTTGTGAACATCAACATGAATTTGCTGTAAAAATATAAAAAAACGATTCTTCAAAAAATGTTAACCAATAACATAACTTGTCTGTTAGTAATCAACTGTGGCCATAGTTTACAGGAATCAGCTCTTGTAGGCAATATTAGTAATTTAAACAAAATTTTTAATATCATCCTACATACTCACAGAACTCATTGAAAACATAGACTGTGATGATTGACTTGAAGCTTGACTCAACGATACAAATCCTTCAACCCGAAAATCTTGCAACAATAATAGGAAACTATCACATGCAATAATTCGGCCGTTAATCTGGCTGCGAAGAAGTGGTAAAAGTCTTATAGGCTTATGGTAAAGAAAAGCTATATAAATATATAGGTAATAGGTAGGCTATATATCAAATTACTATTGTAATTTAGCAATCAATGACAAAATATACTTCTTATTCCATCAAGAAGGAGTTAGTTTATTTCTTATATTATTTTCCTCAGATTAACGAAGTTTCTGGTCAATTTGCCACTGGGTAGTACTGAGGTTATTAATACTAATATTGACTGATTATTCAAGCAAAAACATTTAATTGTGAATTGAGGTTATCCTCGTTTAATGCCACTCGACTAATTTTTTTATTGAATATCATTGATATAAAATTTCAATTATTCGCAAAACAATATAAATTAAATGATTTGATAAAATTTTTAAAATAGTAAGAATTGAATTTACCAGGAGAATAATGCTTTTCTCAGCACTAAAATCAATGAATCTTTGAGATGAGAATTGATTCGAATAAGTGGCAATATTGAATGTAAGACACAAGCTGCATTTTGTGGTGACAACAAGCAAATACGTTCAAAAAATTCTCTCAACTTTTGTTTGCTTTCTAAAACTATGCTGGAATAATGCTTGCAGATGCCTTTCAATACATCTAAAGAAAAAATTTGTTTAACTTTTTTGAAAAGTGCTTTTGTTCGAACTTTATTCAGAGGCATTAAGCATGTCTTAATCTGCATACAATAAAATTTGATACAGATAGGATAAATACTCAAGAAACAATAACAAATATTATGCATAGCCAAATGGACTCTATAACAAACCTCCTTACCTACTATTACCACCTTTGATTTGAACCCAATACAAATGTCAACTGACAGTCATAATAAAATAAAAAATAATTCATTTATCTACACAATGACAAATTTTACATAGAACTGTTTGCATGTATACATCTCTGATGATATTTGTATATAGGATTTAGTGATCCATCCACCACTCCCAAATATCGTCTGGAAACTGTTTTCAATTAAATGATAAAAATATTAAATATATACCGATATAATGATTGATTGGAGACGACATCTTTGTAATAACACGATTGAGTAATTGTTCAATTATCTCAGTACGAACAACAGGATGAGATTTAAATACATTTGCAAGTAGATAAGCTCCAAGATCACAACAGTTTTGTTGAGGAGTATCTTCTCTTGCCGGTATACCTTCAATAATTCTTCCAAATGCTCCTAAATTCAAAATTTCAATCAGTTTCATAGAACCAATTTTTCAATCATCATTAAAAATTGTTAAGAAGTAATTAATCCCAACCATGACAACCAAATAACAGATTGATTAATTTTTTTTAGCTATGTGTGATGGATGTGTGAGTGTGACCCATTTAGTGAAATACTTTGGCATCTTTGCTAACTAGCATGTTTGTGTGTCAGTATTCCATTGGCTATTTTTTTTTACCTTAGATTTGGGCTTGTCATGTTGAAACTTTGGGCAAACCTGATCATTCAATAAAAAACTAAACAAAAGAAAAGTTTCAGATTCGGAAAGATTCGATTCGAAAGTGTCAAGTGACAGCGCCATTAAATATCAGCCAAACCAGGCTACGATTTTGTTGTCGGAATGTGTTGACAGCAAATACAGTCACAACAAAATCACAACAAAAAACATGGGGCCAGCGCCTAATGTAAGTGTCATGTACTCATGTTACTATAACGTTGGGGTTGATATATATCGAGATATTGCATATAACTAGTACATCCCAGGTTATGCATGCACATTGAAAATAGGTAACATGTTCATTATTCTATTGCTCATCAAATTATTTTGAGTTGGCTTTATCACTCATGTCCGATTTTACCACTTTTGGTAGGCAAGATATTCCAGAATCCAGAGTATACAAGGCTGTGTTCCAAAGTATCGAATATTGCCCATATTGGATTAAAATAGGAAATATGAATTAATAAAACCAAATCACTGATTTTCAACTTGCCTGATTTTGGTCCATAAGCATCCAAAAGACATAATCCTAAGCGAACAATTCCTGTTACAACCTGCTCCCAGCTGTGTTTACATGAATCCAGCTGTGAAAACAACGATAAACAGTATGAGGATTCTAAAACATTATTTTGAGTTTATTGCAAGGACTTGCATAAGCCGAGTAAGTACAAAAATGATTGCTTTGAAATTAAAAATTGTTCAACATGTTTTCTGCTCGTCCCACACTTGTCTTGATGCATGAGATTTTCTGCTTTAATGATGATCACATAATAACTTGTACATTTGGGTCTGAGAGTGCGGTCATACTAGGATAAAAAAAACTAATTACCGATGTTCTATAACTTCGATGGCAAAAGATTTGATAGTTCTGCAATGGGATGCCTAGATGGGGAGAAGTGATGGGTGAGTTATTTCATTAACGAGATAAATAAAGCAGAAAATCTAAAGACTAAATTTTCAACTGCCAATAAAGTAGCATAGACAGTAAACACTGAAAAAAGTCTGTTACAACTAATTTTAATCTTTCATGCCAACTGGCCATTATCTTTGCTCGTTGATTAACCCCCGTTCTTATCTTGTTCAACAACATCAGAATAATGACTAAAATTAACCATTGAAATGTGACAAGCCCCAAGCACTGCTCTTAGTGATTATTTTTGCGCCATGCCTTACCTGGTAGCACAATACAATATTCAGTTTTGGCTTACCTTTTATGACAGATTTATATTGCTGCCAGGGGCGGACACTTTCCATAATTTTGGGGGGGCGAACTATAATTTTGGGGGGGGCGAACTTGGATCGCCTACTGAAAAAACACCGCGCCGTGTATCGTCACGTAACAATAACCTGTCGATGTCATTCTCTAAGTATTAGAATGTCATTTTGCTACTCATATATCGAGTACCTAGGATGCTTCGCTTAGACACGGAACTTGCGCGTCCCTGAACCAATTTCTTGAATTCCGCGAGAATTAGCCCAGGGCTCTTGCTAACAAACAGAAAATAACAAATTTGAGGAGTCGTATTGGGTTATTGTTTCAATTCCTAGTTCTGCATAAAGCGCACTGACACCGTTTCAAAAAATTAGAAATGCTAAACAAGGTAACAAGCTATTGCGCGAATTTTTTTCCTAAATTTTACCAAGGAATTATTATTTGACTAGTAGAATTGTCATTATTGCCAATTTATTGAATCATCATTTGAACTCGAAATAACATTCAGGATTCACGCAATGACTTTGCAGGGTTTTTATCTATAATTTAATACAAAAATGAACAGGCACAAGTTCAGGCGCGCAGCCAGGATTTTAAAAAAAAGGTGTGGGGGGGTCAAAGTCGGAACTTCCCATTGTCGTCTGCAACAAGCACCGCGATTACGCGCTCGTTAAAAGAGCCGCCTATTCAAGCGTATAATGATTTTTCTGTCGCGTAAAATATTCAATCCATGACAGCCACGAGATTCTAAAATGTCCTTATATATTAATTTAATTGTGTGCAACGTAATTGCGGCTGCGACTTCTTACGTCAAAATAAAAAAAAATACTAAACTAAAGTACCACGGCGATATGTGGACATAAAAATATGAGATAAGCAGCCTGATGTATTTTATTTTGATACATATTTTTGCAATCTTCCGAACTCGTTATCGTCGTTACAAAAATCTCGATATCTGATATAAAACCCCATATAGTACAATTTTACTTCATACAATGAAAATAAGACCGATACGGGCATATTCCAAATGTCTTGATTTATTAATTTAATTGTTTTTAATTTAAACTGCGGTTGAGTCGACAAAACAAGAGCCACTCTAAAACATCACGGCAATCCGAGGACATAAAAATGTGTGGTAAACTGCCCGTTTATATATTGTTTTGATCCGTATTTTTGCTATTTCGCGAATTCGATAAATTTGAGATGTACTTGTAACACTGGCTCCCCTCAATCGCAATGTTGTCACTCCGATTATTTTTAAAGATAAAACGTTTCGAAAATCCGTAAATTTTCTGTCAATTCTCACGTAGTAAAAGTTATTGCAGTATAATAAAAATACATAAATAAGTACAACGACTGATCGAATATACTTTAATTATTTTATATATCATCACAAACCGGGGAAAAGTCGCGTTCTCAGCTTTGTTTAATGTTAACACGAAAATTTTCGACGCCAATTTGAAAGTAATGGATAAAAAGGAAAATCCCGCCCACAATTGACCGTGTTTTGATTTTAGTGACGAAATGTTTTTAAAGGTCACGTAAACATAACTTGTGCCGTAGGCACACAAAATTTTGCGATTTTCGATGCCTAGAAAAGCGTTTTTAGACTGTCGCGGCCTCAACAAAACTTATATTGTTCACAGTTTCAACTTATCAACTTATGGATACTTATTAGAATTCTCGCCGGGTTCATAAGTCCGTGCTTGTACGAAAATAAAATAATTATCATAGTCATCGTGTCACCAATTAGTGGAAAATTTGTGATTTAAAGAGGATAAACGCCAACGTAAAGGCGTTTACGGCCTAAATAATAGGTCTCAATAATGAAAACAATCGGCGATTTTAGCAAAAAGCAATTGCACGTGTTATTGGCGACTTTTTCAGTTTCCAAAAAATTCAGAAGGGGTGGGGGGTATCTTTTTTAGATAGTTTCTGTGGTCAGAAAACTCGAATAGGCGTTTCGACATAGTAAATGCTTTGATCTTTACCCGCAAATTATGCTGGGCCTTGCACGAAAATCATACCGTGAAAAGATACGTCCAGCGGTGAAAATTTGTTTATAACAACTTTAGATCTAGTTAATTTTTTAGCGATAATAATTAATTGTTGTAATGAAAAACAGTTTGCCTCTTTCACTTCTCTCGCAAGTGCCAACAATAACACTATTTAAAGATTTTGACAATGAGAAAACCATATTAAATTGTACAAAAATAAATTAATTAGTTGTGCAAAACCGTGGCGCGTGATCGGCGGTGTGTTTGAAGACTGAGTATTACCCGTGCGGGCACGCATGTTTCACGAAAATGTGAGGTGCTCCTAAAGCGCTCTGGTCCACATTATTGTAAGAAAACAGTTATAATATCGGTAACAAATAACCGTTTAATTGCGCTTGACTATCGCACTTTTCGGAAACGATAATTTTGTCAGGCAGAAACAACATGTATTAAAATTTTTTGCGAAATTATTGGGGGGGGGCGACCGCCCCCCTTCGCCCCCCCCCGGGTGTCCGCCCCTGATTGCTGCTGTGGTTTTAATCTCAGTATCCTTTAAAAAACTATACTTAATCAAGTAGTAGCTTCATTTTTTTTTATCTATTCAAGCAGTGAAAGCTACATAAGAGTTCTAGGAAACAATCAAAATCTAAGCAGCAACAAAATCTCCTACATTGTCAGTCACTACTTACCACAGATTGGAGTGACTTTTTTACATCTGGAACGCTCAACAACCTCTGTTTCAACCAATTACTATTAGCATGCCTGTGCTCATGAGAAAAACATCTGAAAGAGACATGAGGAAGATTGAGATAAAATGACAGAAATTTAGTTATATGCCTAAATGAAATGTATATCCAAGTAAATATTTATCCAACACATTTTTAAAGATATTTAAAAGCAGTTCACATGCATTGTATCGAAGCTATTGAAAATTCTAAGCATGTTCAAAGTTAGTTAGTTATTAGCTTAATAAAATGTTTGTCATAAACCCATGGTTATAAATAACAAACCTGAAAATAATGACTTTGAGCTGTTCTAAGATTTGTTCTCTAAAAATCTTGATTTGGGACAGGATAAGTGCAACTGCCAGAAAAAAAACTGATAAAGAATTTTCTGCTAATGAGTCTTTCACCATCTGAATTTATACAAAAAAAAGAAAATAATCATATTGAATGAGTAGCAATTAAAGTAACAGATAAACTGAAGCAGAGACATTCTACACAAGATAATGTATATATATATGCAAATCTAATAATAATATTGTGCAAGGTAATCACGATGTGAGCATAACTGATAATCAACATCACTTGGAAGATGTAAAATACAATCCTTCAGCACTAAGCAGTTACTAGGGCTGGGTAAAATATTCTAATAAGTAATAACGAATCGAATATTAAAATGGCATTTTACTATTCGAATATCCGGTACCATGTGACCTGCGCCGCTTTGCTCGAACACAAAACTCGTGCGATCGTGAATTGCATGAGAATTCACCGACAGCGCTCGCTATCAGACAAAAGCAACAAATTTAAGCAATCGTTGATTTTGCGGTATGGTGTTATTTGCTTTAATTTTGCGCCTAACGTATCTAACGTATCTTTCCAATTCCCTATTTTGCAAAAAAAACTTATCGATGAAGTTCCGTTATTCAGAAACCTCGAACCAGATGAGGGTTTACAATAAATTTTCCAGAACTCCATATGCTTAATGACACGTTGTGAGTCATTTCATGCATGACCGGAACATAAAATTGATAATGAGACATTAAAAGTTGAAATGACCTTTTCGATAGACCATACATGATACATGGCCAAAAAGGCAATTTCAGGTCCTCAGAAAATTCGAGTAATATAAGTAGCATCGATTTGTAAATGACAAGTCAAGTTTTTTTTCCAAAGCTGGTATGAGTTACTTGTATATATATCGCCACCGGAACGATCGCGGTGACAAAAACAATCAGCAAATATCACGAAATTAACAAGTAAAAAAACGCTTTATGGCCGATTTTTCACCTTTCGAAAGGGAGTACCAATCGACGTTCTGGATATTCGTTAAAAATATTCGATTTTCCCTACCCCTAGCAGTTACCTTCAACATTTTTATGAAAACTTTTCCCAATGTTTGATCCCATCTTGCCATGTTTGTTAAATGAAGTATAACTGTGCCTTCCACTATCTTAAGATTCCTTGCAGATGTTTCGATTGTTGCGTGACCATTGTTTTCTGAATAATCCACATTCTCTTCTATCTCAAACATTTCATTCCAGCTATCACCTGGAAAAAATTGCTTTAGTTTTAACAAACAAGATAAGCATCAATACTTTAGCTAAATGATAATTTGGATAAGTCAATGTCAATCGACAGGCACTCCCTAATGCAGTGGTTCTCAAACGTTTTTAGTCCCAGAGCCGCATTTCAAACCTCAAAGTTATGAAGAGCCGCACACAAACAACGCAAGGTAAAATAACAACAAACCTTAAGCGCGTATTTAAAATACTTAGTCATCGTAACAACAACACACGTAACAACTAAGGCTGGGCAAAATATTTGTATTATAAAATATTTGAATGACATTTTTATATGTATTCGAATATCCGGTACCACGTGACCGGCGCCGCTCTGCTTGGACACCGAACTCGCGCGTCTCCAACTCAATCTTGAATTGTGCGAGCTTTGTCAACAGCGCTCGCTATCAGAAAAAAGACAAATTTGAAAAGTCGTTTTATTGCGTTATGGTGCTATATGTTTATCTTTGCACCTAACGTAACGTTTCAATTCCATATTTTGCAAAAAAACGTAACGACCGTTATGTAAATTTAGAAACGTCAAACCAGATTAGGTATTTAAAATAAATTTCCCAGATTTTAAACTCCGCATGCTTGGTGACATGTCATTAGCCATTTCTTGCATTACCGAACATAAAGTTGATTAAAATCAAATGTTAAAATGATTTTAGGTCGTTAAAAAACTCTAGTTATATAAATAGCATGGATTTAAAAATGACCAAAAGTTTTTCTAAATATTGGTATGAGTTACTTGTATGAAATACATTCATTACGTTGTAACCAGATAAGAAATGCCACGTCCTACTCCCTTTAAAGCACTTTGTATTAGCTCTTTAGTGATTCCTTCCGTCCTTAGCCAAGTAATGTTCCGAATATGTAAACATTTTACTCGATCATGCATGGCCGTTAAGCCAAAAGTTAGAACGTAATATCAATCGAGAATTTTGTTGTAACAATGCACACTGTTTCGTTCATGACTTGTTGCGTCTATTATCATTGAAAATGATTACAATTGTTAAATTTTGAAGCATTTGGGCAGTAATAATTAAGCATCAAGGCATGACATAATCAAAATCATTAGGTGAAGTGCTGAATTTGCAAATTCCGTAAAGAATATTGAGCGTTACTCAGTAAGTATTTTAGATATAATAACCATCGGGGTGTTGCTTTGTTGAAAAAAAAATGTTAAAACTTGAAGGAATTAGGTATAATTAGCGTCTGACCCTCTATTAGGCACAAAGGCCTAGAAATGCCTTTATTGCCAATTTATTTAATCGCTATTTTAAATCAACATTCAGGATTCACACAATCGTAAGTTCACTAGGTTTATCTATCTAATGCTAAAATAACACGAACACCATAGAAAAGCATGAGAAACTCAATTATCATTTTAATAAATTCGATTTTGTCCACCCTAGACTGATAGCCATTTAATTTGGCTTTGATTTCTATTAATTTGTCAAAGCGGGTCGTAATCGTGGAGGATGCAATGTGCAGTAGCTGCTTAGGATGATCGCCAAATATTTCGGGACTATTTTTGATTACTGGAACAAAATTAAAATGCTCTACAAATTAATAAAATCATTGAGTTATTTGATTTATACATAATATTCAGAAATGCGACAAAAACTGAAAATCCCCGAAAACAAGCCAATAATGATTACAGTCATGTTTAAAATCTTTCCAAGTGAAAAGTGTCGGAGTGGCCGCGAAAATGCTTACAGTTGCGTCACTATTGCATCTTGTATAGATTAGTCAACGCTAAGCAAATAAACACGGGGGAATCCATTCGACTGACTAATACACTTCCACATTTTAATTTCAAGTCAATGATTAGTTTTCAATTGAAAATTTTCTTTGAAAAAGAATTAATTTTCAAGGCATTACCAAGAGCCGGAGGAAAGGTTGTTGAGAGCCGCATGCGGCTCTCAAACCGTAGTTTGAGAATCACTGCCCTAATGCAATGTCGCATCACAATGGCTAGATCTGTACATATATATGCTTCATAATTATATGAAAATTTATTCTTCAATTCACATTGACAACAAGACACATAGACCAATGAAATAAGAAAAACAGCTGACAAACAAACCTGTAGATTTTCGTTGCTCTTCCAAAGATTTTTTATCTAATTTCGTAAAAACATGAAATATTCCTTGGAGGACAATGTCATGATTCGTTTTGCCACTCAAAGGCAATATTTGATGGACTAGTGGTGGTATTTCTTGTATTTCAAGTCGTTCCAGTTGGCGTAGCATCTTTTGAAGAAAAAATCTCATTTCATCGATTGACATTGAAACATCTCTGAAACATGAATTAGCAGCTGCTGATAGGTTTCAAAATCAACCACAATAACATTAATATAAATAATAACTGACCTCATTAAAAAGATTACGGTAATTGATTGTTAATGGCCTACAAGTCTTAATTTAATAATTCAGATTCAATACAAATGGATATTTAAGAATATTTTCACTCGGAATTCAGTGTGAAATCTGCACGAGGTCACTATTTATTCAAAAAACAATTTATGGCACCATTTATTTACAGTGCATTGTTTTGTTCAAAAGCATCTAACCCGGGGGTGGGCACACTACCACTATGCCAAAGATTTTGTGCCCACCCTCCCTCTCCCGGTTCTGGGAAATAGTTGTATTTAGATTTAATTCCCAACTCCATTGTTATTTTTAAATCTGTCTCATCAGTCACTATTACTCTGCTTTGTCAAATGAATTTGTATCATTAGATGTTTTTTACTTTGCCATCTAATGCATTGCTCTAAAACACTCCAATTTAGGATATTTCACATACTGATTTTTAAGTTTAGCTAGTGGGGACACACAGCAAATTCCCATCAGCTCTGTTAAGCCCTGTGTTGCCAATAGTGCATAGCGCAATATTTGTATTGAGACCAGAATATCAGAAGTAGAATTCATTAACACCTACTTTGATTGACCGAATACATTTTAAGGTAACATAAATAGCATGAGAGATTAGGATACAAAACTAATGAAAATTAGATAGAAAACCATCATTTATTTCGTTGATGAAGAAACAATGATTTTGAGTCTTTATCTGTACCTTCTCATGCGATTTTGAAAACTTCAAGATAAGTCTTATACTTTCTGCAGTTTAATATCCCAATTAGCCAAGTTTTAATTTTTGCCAAATTTCTACCTAATTTATGGAATTGCTGTGAAGTTAAGTACTAAGTACTATATAATATGGCCCTCCGTAAGAAAGATGAGTGCAGCACTAGCAAAAAAAATTTTGTCCACTCCTGATCCAACTTACTCCATGTTACCAAAATGTACTCACTTGAAAATATTTGCCAAGTGAATAATACTTCTACTCGACCATTTTCCAGAACACAGGTTGTTAATGAGATGCTTCTTATATTCACTCCCAGACATGCTTCCTTGATCTGCCCCTATGTAGACTTCATTTTTTTGTTCAATACAAGTGAGCAGCTGAACAAAGAATAGATTAATGGTAGAATTCAGAAAATTTATGAAACTTGCACCTAAATTTTATAGCATACTCTTCTTGAAATGAGAAATTACAAATATATGATGTCTCTGTTGCAGACTTTTGACAGTAAGGTAATATCCTTCTCAACTTCTGTCAATTACAATTCCTATTTATACAAATACTTTTAACTCCAATATCAGGAGGAAATAAATATTTAATTGAATCTTATCCCAATATATGTATTTACTGTGTACAGTTCAGGCAGAATAAGATTGGTATGCAATGCAAGTCTACATGTGTCTGAATGAATTGTGTGCGATTATTGTATTGCTTTGTTTATATTGATAATGATTTAAATTATTCATATTTATCAGGCACATGTCTCAGAATAGTGTGAGTGTCAGACTGCCAGGTCTCACGAATCTTTCATTTATACAGTTTGTTATTCAATGAACATACAAACAATATACTAGTACTTGAAAGTATAATATACAAATCCAAATAAAAATGTCTCTTACTTTGGGTAATACTTGTATCGCTCTTCCATGACCAGTATTTCCATTTCTTATCATTTCAATAATCATCTTACTTGCATCAACCAAACCTCCTGTTGTTAATTTATCAATCTAAAGTAAAATTTTACTTTTATAAAATGAGCTCAAATTCCATAGCAGTTATGCTGAGCTATTAAACACTGGTCTATTTCAATAATGAGAAATTTAAAGTGTTCATGCCTTTGATAGGCCGAAGCAGAAAACTAAAACATTTCACACTGTAATAGACTAAGTGAAACTAAACTAAATAGAAACTACATGATTCAATATTATAAAGCTTTGGATACATCAAAACTACAAGAGAAACAGTTAATAAATGACAGACCTCAAACAATATAATGCCAAGAATATCGGTTCCTGTATTCTGTGAAACATCTGGGCTCGATAAAAATTTTAGGCAATGTGTGAAGACAGCAATAGTATGAAGTGATAGGTGATTCTTCTCAGAGTTACAACCTATGAAACAATATTGGTTGAGAATGAAACAGAGCTGTGCATTGTGACGCTGAAGTTCAATGCTCATGGAGTCAGAAGTTGAAGCAACCTTCTAAATTTTAAATTACAGAATTATCCCTGAGGTGAGACTCGTGCTTTCATATTTTTAATTGATTGAGGTCAAAATTTCCGACAGTACCTCAAAAATCATCAAGTTGAACATTCTAAACAGACAATTATTTAGGGCTTGCAAGCGCATATGCCTAAGTTTTTGTTATCAAAATTTGGTTTTTAAAGTTTGGATCCAGTACTGGAGTCAAAAAACCTAGGGTCAAGTCAAATTTTTATAGTCACTTTGAATAACTCGATAGTTGTTTAGCTCGAAACAGTCTCTACAGCCCTGAATTGCAATCAAGATATACCAATTATATGGCTGTTTTCTGAATTTCAAACAAAAAATTTTATGACAGTATGACGAGTTTATATGACACTAGCACAAAATGGGCTTTCGGGAAATTGAAATACAGATGCAAAATTGAAGACTCAGAACATGAATATCAAGCAACAATATCAAAAAAAAAATTAGGGATTTAGTTCCAATAAAATCAAAAAAACCTTTAAAAATTGCTCTCAGTATCTTTGTAGACTCTTCACTTCCATTTTTATGACGTAGTATGTGATCATCCACGAATTCTTTCAATTGCTCAATCGTGATTTCTCTCAATTTTTGAGACAATTCTTCAAAATTATCAGTATCAAATAATTTTAATAATTGTTCATCCATTATTTCAATTTCTAAAAAAAGCAATAGTAAAATTTTTCTGTATTTCTTTTACCAAGGTTTATTGACATATTGCCCGATATAATCAGTATGTCTGTACAGCCTGACAGTCGCTATGTGCATTCATCATCCACTGACTGACTGACCAAAATTTGTTCCCACTGACAGACTGAAATGATTTGCTAAAATCATCGAATGCTACATTTTGTTTGGCGTTATATAAACCGGTAACAGTATGAGGAGTTTATACGTTTATTTCACTAGACCCTAAATTGACCCTCAAAACAGTGAAAACCAGAAAGAGGAACAGCGCTTGTCCCCTTTTCTTTTGCGCCATTTCATATTTCCCGCCATACGCATTGTGACCTAATCGAACTGATGGACATGGCACGGCGGTGTGGTTCATCGTGAATAGAGGACTTGCACGGATCACGTGACTTTGTCTACGCCGCCATTTTGGACGGCAAAAAAACAAAAACGTCCAGACCTCGCTCCTGTCAGTCGCAAGTCGCGTTATTCGTTTCCGTTTTGCTTGACCGTTAAAATGGTTATTTCGCATTGTGCCGTTTGGCTGTACGTATAGACAACGAAATGGATCGTCAGTTATATTTCATAAGTTTCCAAAAGATCCGGAACGTCGAGCAAGGCGGATATCACCTATTGACAGGACTGCTTGGTGTCCAAGTCCAGAAGCTGGACTGGTGTAATTCCCATCCTACTCTGCTTGATGTTCAAGTCATCTTGCTTGTGTTTGCGGACAGCATTTCGTTGGTGGTGAGTGATAATGTGTTGTTATCAATTCCTTTAATGGAAATTTTAGTCGGGTCCAGGCCTAGGGCCCTAGGCGTACTTGGGTGTCCACTTGACTTGCAGACTTGTGTAAGAAATTAATCATCAATTACCATAAGGTATTATTTCCCTAGTTAGCAGGTAATCTATTAGTAAGTGTGAAAAGTTGAATAGATAACACAAGTTTAACGTGGTCATGCAAAAAATAACTGGTTCACTAATCCTGACATGGAATGATAATCGTGGGATAGGCTGTGGTTCGCCATATGAAGCCGCCTCACTTGCAATCCTCTCTACTCATACCTTTTCCTGATTTGGACATCCTTAGTCAAAAGGCACACTTGATTCGCAAAGTTTTGAAAATGCGCACACTACACCAATTTATCTGATGTTTTGATTCCATAGGCAGGAGGTTGTGGATCAGTAGCCTACTGCTTAGGATGGGATATTTTTGCTTATGAATGCATATTACGTGTTCCACATGGTCAATCAGAGTCACTAACATCAAAATCTCAATCAGCAAGGATAAGATGAAAACCTGAAAATACCATTCCATAATTTAGGGTCGAAAATGTATCTACCTCCACAGCCCTTTCAAGTCAAAGATATATATGATGCCTTGATGGGTAATTTATATCAAATTTTTACAGTGTTATGGTGCTTCTGGTGAAAATAGATTCGGACGGCTGCTTTTCATTAAAGCGGTAGGTCTAGTCGAAAAACACATTAAATATTCATGCTAACAACTGCAAAGTGATATTGCAACGCATACGAGTTAACAAAATTTGTTGAAATGGTGATAGCGATGCAAGTTCTTTACAAAATAGTTTCAGAATATCAACCACAACTTTAAAGGGGGGCGGTCGCCCCCCCCCCCCCCCCCCCCCCCCCCCCCAATAATTTCGAAAAAAAATTTAATACATGTTGTTTCCGCCTTGCAAAATTATCATTTCCGAAAAGTGCGATAGTCAAGCGCAATTAAACGGTTACTAGTTACCGATATTATAACTGTTTTCATACAATAATGTGGACCAGAGCGCCTTCGGAGCACCTCACATTTTCGTGAAACATGCGCGCCCGCACGGGTAAAACTCCGTCTTCAGACGCGCCGCTGATCACGCGCCACGGTTTTGCACAACTAATTCATTTTTGTACAATTTAATATGGTTTTCTCATTGTCAAAATCTTTCAATAGTGTTATTGTTGGCACTTGCAAGAGAAGTGAAAGAGGCAAGCTGTATTTCATTACAACAATTAATTATTATCGCAAAAAATTAACTAGATCTAAAGTTGTTATAAACAAATTTTCACCGCTGGACGTATCTTTTCACGTTATGGATTTCGTGCAAGGCCCAGCATAATTTGCGGGCAAAGATCAAAGCTTTCAAACTTTTCAGACCACAAAATCTATCTAAAAAAAGATACCCCCCACCCCTTCTGAATTTTTATTGAAAACTGGAAAAGTCGCCAATAACGCGTGCAATTGCCTTTTGCTAAAATCGCCGATTGTTCTCATCATTGTGACCTATTATTTAGGTCGTGAACGCCTTTACGCTGGCGTTTATCCACTCTAAATCACAAATTTTCCACAAATTTGCGACACGATGACTATGATAATCATTTTATATTCGTACAAGAACGGACTTATGAACCAGGCGAGAATTCTAATAAGTATCCATAAGTTGAAAAGTGAAAGTATAAAATACTAAAATTAAAACTGTATACAATATAAGTTTTGACAGCCCGCCACAGTCTAAAAACGCTTTTCTAGGCATCAAAAATCGCAAAATTTCGTGTGCACAAATTATGTTTGCTTGACCTTTAAAAAACATTTCGTCACTAAAATCAAAACGAGGTCAATTGTAAGCGGGATTTACCTTTTTATCCATTACTTTTAAATTGACGTCGAAAAGTTTCGTGTTAACATTAAGCAAAGCTGAGAACGCGACTTTTTCCCGGTTTGTGATGATATATAAGATAATTAAAGTATATTCGATCAATTTTTATATTTATTTATGTATTTTTATTGTACTGAAATAACTTTTACTACGTGAGAATTGACAGAAAATTTACGGATTTTTCGAAAGGTTTTATCTTTAAAAATAATCAGAGTGACAACATTGCAATTGAGCGGAGCTACAAGTACATCTCAAATTTATGAAATTCGCAAAATAGCAAAAATACGGATCAAAACAATATATAAACGGGCAGTTTACCACACATTTTTATGTCCGCGGATTGCCGTGGTGTTTTAGAGTGGCTCTTGTTTTGTCGACTCAACCGCAGTTTAAATTGATGACAATTAAATTAATAAATCAAGACATTTTGAATATGCCGTATCGGTCTTTGATTGAGTACTTTGCACAAGTGAAAAATCATTTTTCGTTGAAAAAGTCGGCTCTTTTAACAAGTGGCGTAATCGCGGCGACTGTTCCGCGTGGATTCCGAGGCGGTGAATTTGTATTTTTGAATTACTAGTATACTTTATAATTATTTTCATTGTATGAAGTAAAATTGTACTATATGGGATTTTATATCAGATATCGAGATTTTTGTAACGGCGATAACGAGTTCGGAAGATTGCAAAAATACGTATCAAAATTAAATACATCAGGCAGCTTATCTCATATTTTTATGTCCACATATCGCCGTGTTACTTTAGTTTAGTAATATTTTTATTTTGACGTAAGAAGTCGCAACCGCGAGTTACGTTGCACATAATTTAATTAATATATAAGGACATTTTAGAATCTGGTGGCTGTCATGGATTGAATATTTCACGCGACAGAAAAATCATTATACGCTTAAATAGGCGGCTTTTTTTAACGCGCGCGTAATCGCGGTACTTGTTGCAGACGGCAATGGGAAGTTCCGACTTTGACCCCCCCTTTTAATCATGGCTGCGCGCCTGAACTTGTGTCTGTTCATTTTTGTATTAAAGTAGGCTATAAATAAAAACCCTGCAAAGTCATTGCGTGAATCCTGAATGTTATTTTGAGTTCAAATGATGATTTAATAAATAGGCAATAATGGCAATTTTACTAGTCAAATGATAATTCCTTGGTAAAACTTAGGAAAAAATTCGCACAATAGCTTGTTACCGTGTTTAGCATTACTAATTTTACGAAACGGCGTTAATGCGCTTTATGCAGAACTAGGATTTGAAACAATAACTAATACGACTTCTCAAATTTGTTATTCTGTTTGTTAGCAAGAGCCGTGGGCTAATTCTCGCGGAATTCAAGAAATTGGTTCTGTAACGCGCAAGGTCCGTGTCTAAGCGAAGCGTCCTAGGTACTCGATATATGAGTAGCAAAATGACACTCTAATACTTAGAGAATGACATCGACAGGTTATTGTTACGTGACGATACACGGCGCGGTGTTTTTATGTAGGCGATCTCATTATGGAAAGTGTCCGCTCCTGATCATCACCCACCACCAACGAAGCGCTGTCCCCAAACACGAGCAAGATGGCTGGGACACCAACCAGTTCTCCCAATAGATGATACCCACCTTGCGCGACGTTCCGGATCTTTTGAAAACAATGGAATGTAACTGAAGATCCATTTAGTTGTTTGTACATACCGCACAATACGAAATAACCATTTTTAACAGCCCAGCAAAACGGAAACCAATAACAAGATTTAGAACTGACAGGAGCGAGGTCTGGACGTTTTTGTTTTTTTGCAGTCCAAAATGGCGGCGTAAACAAAGTCACGTGATAAGTGCAAGTCCTCTATGGACCTTTCCCCGAGCATCGACTATCGACTTCTTTGTTTACTTCGTGACATTGGCCAATCAGCAAGATGCAAAAGGTGACGTAACAATGCTCCCTTTTCGCATCCGCTCAGACACTTTTCTCACCCAGACAGATTTTCAAGCGTGGTTGTAAACATTACCTCGTTTTCGCGTTTTTGGACTCTATTCGTTAGTTTTCAGTTGTGTTTCGGAAACCTAAATATAAATCAGATAATTCAATGATCACTCTGGTTTCCTAGGAGTTTTAATTTAATTGCAGTAATAAAAAATTAGTGTAAAAATAGCTGTGATAGACTAGGCTAAAATTATTTACCAGTACTTTTAAAAAACAGATTATTGTGTGCGATGAATCCTAACGATGGTTTGATATACATACCCCATTTTACATGCGCCAACTCGCAAAAGCACTCTTAAAATAGTCTCGAAAATTTTCCAATGGTAAAGTATAGGAAGAATTTTCCGGGGGTCAAATGTCGGGGTAAGGTCCATA